TGCAAAATTTAAAAAGGAAAATACGAAGTAAAATTAATAGTAATATGATAAGCTCAGTTTGCCTAATAGTTTTGAGCCATAAACCTAGGCTTAAAGGAAACCAGTTGAATAAATCGAATGTCCATGGGGAATTAGGTGAGACCTGTTGTAACCCTGAGGTCTGTTTCCTTATTTTGTGTATGGGGTCTCAATGTTTTCAGAGGAGCTTAACCAGGTACAGCATATAGTAATAGCAATAGCACAGACGTTTCCTTATTTAACCAGTAGATAATAGAGAGCAAATTTATCATCTAGTATCCCATGACTGGGTTGAATTAAAGCAGAGTAAGCAACAGTTGTATTAGGGATGTTGCCAAGTCACCCCCTAGGGGACTAAAGGATCTTTTTCTTAGGTCAGGTTCTGTCAAGTTACCAGCAGAAGCTACTGATGGTGAAATTTCAATTACGCCATTATCCTGCTAAGTGAAGAAAGGCAGTGAGAGGGATAAGAGTCTCATAATGATATGGAGTCTTGTTTTGACATCTTGGAAAAAGCTGTCTACAGTGAGAAGCCATCAACTTCTTATCCTGGTTTGCAGTTTGAATATCTCTGGTTGTGCAGTTGGGAGGTTTGGTGACCTTTCTGTGTGACCCATACATTAGACTCAAGGCTTATCCCTTAAAATTAATCTAGTTTCAGCTTAGAGGGCTTCAGGAACAGAGCAGTTCCCATTTTTAATAATTCTATGGAAGAAAGTTGGATCGGAGAAGTCTAGAATAATTCAAGATCTATTCCAGTCTACAGGTAGATAATAAGAACTCAAAAACTGCACAGAGCTACAATCTAATAACAGGTATAGTAAAGCTTTTCTTTAGGAATGTAATGTTTTCTCTTTATATTGCTCACAGAGGAATATCAGATTTAAGAACCTCTTAAGGCTAGGAAGCAAAATGAAGGCAGACTTTAGATTTTACTTATAATCTCAAGGTTCCTGGGTCTGCCAGGAAGGGACAATTTTTACTCACTGTAAGATTGGGGACCCTCGAAGCCAAGCTTTCTATGCACATTCTCAAATACGTATTCCAGTCAAAGCCACGGTAATACAACCAATGTTTCTAGTTATAGCCTGTTATAAAGAGCAAATCCTTATTGAATTTATGTAAATAATTATATTGCCATAAGAATACTCATGAATTTTGGAGGGATCAAGTAAGGAGAAAAAGTAAATGTTTCCACCTTTGTTCACAAAAGTATATTTTACCAAATTGCTGTAAACTATAGATAGCTTAAGAGAAAAAGTTTCCTTAAATCTGGAAAACAGAACATTTAAGTAAAGAACCATATTTCAAATAAAAACAGTATCTCTATCAGTTGTTCAATTTCATGTAATTAATATTTGTTTTGTTTGATCTAGATTAGAGGTTTCACAGATTCGTCAGTTTCTTCATTAGAGTTCTGAAAAAATTTTATTTAGTCCATCAATCCCATCACTTCTTGGCCTTTTGGCTAAGACCAAGTGTAGTCCATTGATCTTAAAGTTATTAGAAACCTGTATTTAGGATTACTTGTTAGAGTCTTTTTCATGAATCTGATTGCAAATGCTTTTAGAGAAGAATCAAAACTGTGGATGATATTTTCTCCATACTTCCTAGAGGCTAAAAAGCAAACAAACTGTGGATGACAGAAACTTAGAATAGCCGTGGTTAAAAATTTGATGGATTCACTATAATCAGCAATTGACAAGGAAATGTATCAATTTGTTATTTTTAACAACATAATAATTATGACTGATGACAATTTTGGACTATTTATATCAATAACATACCCATAAATGTAATTGAAAGAAGATCTTGCATCACTTATCATTTGATAATGTTTCCCATACAATGTACCAAATAAGCCTAATCCTTTAATATCTACAGGATGAGAGATACAGCCTTTGAGGTTCTCCAGTGACCTGACTGGAAAGTCCCAAAGTTAATTCTAGGTCAAAAAAAAACTTAATTTAGAATTTCATTACTGGGGAAGCTCATCAAAGATGCCAACAGGCTTAAAACAGTTGATCAAAACAGGATTGCAGGTCCTGTGAAATAATAGTCAGTCATTCACTTAGCCAGAGTAATAATCAAAGACTTCAAAAGCAACACAGAAGTATGCATGGATGACGAAAAAAAACAAAAAGCCAGGTGTCCCAGCTGCTTGGGAGGCTGAGGTTCGGGAGGATTTCTTGAGGCCAACCTGGGCAACAGCAAGACCCCATTTTTAAAAAAATAAAACAAAACAAAAAAAACTTAACCCTTAACCCTGAGCTCTTTCAAAGCTCAGGTTTCCTAAGTAATCAAAAAAGACAACACAGGAAATTATCTTAATAAAATGTAAAATCTTTGTTTCTTAGACCAGTTACCTACCAAAAAGGTTAAAAAACAAACAAACCAATCTCCTGCAGTGTGATTGCTTCCCTTTATGGGAAGCTCGTTTAGATAACCTGGAAGCTGAACCTGATTAAAAGGTACTTGAATTTAATCAGACACAGGAAGAGTATGTCCAAGGTTATGAGTGTACACTATATTATAGAGGAATATAAACAAGAAAACTAGTACCTTGAGCAGGGGAATACATGGCTCTTAGTAAAAGCATGAGAAATTTCCTGGTTACATGGAACAATTCAGACACATCAATGAAAGTTAGCCAGGCGCGGTGTCTCACACTGTAGTCCCTTGCATTTTAGGAGGCCAAAGGAGGGAGGATTGCTTGAGGCTGGGAGTTCGAGACCAGCCTGTGCAACAAAGCAAGACCCTGTCTCTATAAAAATAAAAAATGTAGCCAAGTGTGTGGTGGTGTGTGCCTGTAGTTTCAACTACTCAGGACGCTGAGGCAGGAGGATCACTTGAGCCCAGGCATTCAAGGCTACAGTCAGCTATGATCATGCCACTGTACTCCAGCCTAGGCAACAGAGTGAGACCCTGTCTCAAAAAAGAGATTTAAAAAAAAAAAGTACAGAATCAAATTACACTAAAGGAAAACATTGCTTTCCTAGGCCTTCAAGACAGAACATTTCAATGTCAGGCTATAACAGCAAAGTTAAAACCAGAGAAAAAAGTTCCAGGAGCTGATGGAAAAATTAAAAGAATTATCATACTCCAGCCAAGCAAAAAGGATGTACCTTCTCGAGGAGAGAAAGAGATAGAGTAGAAGGCAGTGATGTATGACCTTCAAATCACGTACTTAGAGATACAGCGAAAGAACTTTCACAGTACCCAGTAAATAATTGTGCAGTGTTGCCTGAATAGGAACAGGTGTTGCACATGGCACCTGTGGTTCCAAAGTGAGTGTGTAGCATCCCTCCTGCCCCAAGACTGCCCTGCTTCCCTTCCCACTCTTCGTCCCTTCTTCCTTTCTGATGACAGAAGTCAGGAAAGGAGGAAACCCCTGAAGTTTCACATCCCCTCTGTCTGCTTGGGCATCCTTGACTGAATACCTTCGCGGGTGGCCAGGATGGGGGTTCCTCTCTTTCCCCAGGCACAGTGCCTCACCCAGATCTCCCTCCTTGCAGCAGGGAGGTGACTTCCTCATCCTGGTTTTATAGGTGAGGAAGCTGAGGCTCAGAGAGACTGAGCAATTTGCCCAAGGTCCCACAGTCAGGGGCAGGGGCAGGGTTTCAGCCCAGAGCTCTGGACACTGACCCCTGTGCTCTAAGCATCCCTGTGTTGCAAACATTTATCTTCCTTCCTCCCTCCTACCATCCCATGGGTCTTTAGTGTATGCCTGCTGGTCACAGGCCCTGGGCTAGGGGCTGGAGCTGCAGGGCTTCCCAAAGCTGGGTTCTTGGTATTTGGAGACTGTGCTGTCCAGGGGAAATTGCCGTTCACCTGCACTCTCCATTTTATATCACACCAACCTCTGGGTCTCACTCCTTTTCTTTGGGTTACCCCTTCTAGCTCCAGGGTCTTCGGTATGGACCTTCTTCACTTCCTGGCCTTCCTCTTTGTCCTGCTGCTCTCTGGGACGGGAGCCACAGGCACTTTGAGGACCTCCCTGGACCCAAGCCTGGAGATCTGTATCCTTTGGGGTTGGGGTTAATGAGCTTTCTCTGAGGGGTCTATAAATGAGGTCTGTCTATACCCAAAACCCCTTGAGGCAGGGCTCCCCAACCTATGGTGAGTTGTATAATTATTTCAGTATATATTACAATGTAATAATAATAGAAATAAAGTGCACAATAAATGTAATATGCTTGAATCATCCCAAAACCATCCCCCGCCATCCATGGAAAAATTGTCATCCGTGAAAACGGCCCCTGGTGCCTGGAGGGATTCCAGGGATGGGCAGGCCCAACTGGTGGGAAAAGGGAAAAGGGGAGAAAAGGTGAGGTTTTCTAGTCAGACCTTGAACATGTCAGTTCTCTCCTGAGCCTCAGTTTCCCCATATGTTAAATGGAGATGGCAAGGCACATCTCTAGGGTTGCAGAGGCTTGGTAAGGACTGTACATGTGCCAGCACCTTGTGGCCAAGACCCTGGGCAGAGACTCAAGAATTCTGGATAACTGGCTCATCTCTACCTGTTGGACTGGGCCACCTCCTTGGGGTCAGGCCTTGGGGATACAAAGATGAGTCAGGACTAGTCCTTGGCTTTGAGTAGTCTACAGGCCTGTGGGGGGAAAGCCTCCCAACAAATGACGGCTGTACTCTGCTCAGTTCTCTGATGGATCCAGGAGGGGTCGGGGGAAACACTGTGCTGTGGATTTTGAACCAGGTCTTGAAAGAGTAGAAACTCCTACAGTAGGTGAGGGACATACCAGGTAGAGGGTACAGCGTGAGCAGAGGGGTGGAGGTTCTGGAACAGTGAATGTTTGTGAGAGATGGCAGAAGACCACAGTGAAGGAAAGGCAGGAGCCAGGTTCTGGAGGTGTGGAGTTCTGTGTGAACTGGACGAATGATGCATTGCAGGGGCTATATACTTCTCAGACAGTTTGTTCCTTTTCTGGGAGGTCCCAGCCATGGGCATCCATGGCTCTTACAGATACTTGCTCATCAGAACTACTGGGTTGTCCAGGCGAGGCTGTTGGTGCCAGCCCCTTAACTTAATGCTGCCCAGATAAGAAGATGTTTGAGGTGAAGCGGCGGGAGCAGCTGTTGGCACTGAAGAACCTGGTACAGCTGAATGATGTCCACCAGCAGTACAAGATCCTTGATGTCATGCTCAAGGGGCTCTTTAAGGTGTGTGCAGACAGGGGGCAGCTCACAGCAGTCCTGGTACTTGATCTGGGCACTGATGGATCAATCAGTAGGAGTTCCCTAAGGGGATGGTGTTCAGTGAGGGGGTTGCTGCATGCACAAAAGAGTTGAAGTGGGGTTTAAGTAAATGGGATGGGACCAGTCTATCATGGGCTCTGCAAAGCCACTCAGCCCAGGTGGGGTTCCCCCAGGTGCTGGAGGACTCCCGGACAGTGCTCATTGCTGCCAATGTGCTCCCAGATGGGCCCTTCCCCCAGGATGAGAAGCTGAAGGATGGTATGGTCTTCCCCACCCCACCCTTTCTTCTCCACCACCCTTATCTTCTCTAGCTGCTCACTCTCTCCTGTTCTTGTCACTCTTTTCTCCCTGGAAGTACCCTCTTGTGACACCTTCCAGGTGGTCCCCTCAGATGGATGGGCATTTAGTCTGTGGTTCTCCAAGCTTTTCTGGGCTTCAGATCTAGTTTCTGTGCCTCTGACACAGTTGTTCCCTTGTGCTGTCCTGTGCTTGGGGCAGGGGGACCAGGAGGAACCTCTGCGCACCACCACTCCAGAGGCCGGGACAGGGTCAGTTGGTCCCTGACCCTTCTGGTAGGGAAGGCAAGAGTTGTTCCCATGTAAAGACAAAAAAAACTGAGGCTTGTCAGAGTGGTTGAGCCAGTGGGGCAGTTGCCAGCACTCTTTGCTACTGTTCTAATATCCTAAGTCCTTTTTTAGACAAGGTGGGAATAATATATATAAATAAGATGAAAGAATGTTTTGTGTCTCTCCATTCTCTTCCAAGAATTTCTCTTCAGGGGTGATAATCCTGCCCCCATTACCTGGCTACATTTTAACATTAACATTTCTTAGATTACACTGTCTGAGAGAGGATGGCAGCAGCCTCACATATTGAATGGTGGACACTTTATACATATCAACTCTAATCTCCGCTACCACCGTGGGGAAGGCGCTGTTTTGTCCATTTTCCAGATGAAAAAGGACAAGCGATTTGCTCTGGCTCTTCCCTCTGAACCAAGCTGACTCCTGATTTCTTTGAGGTTCAAGATTATTCTGAAGCCCAGGGGTCCCTTCCTGACATGTCTGGGACCCAACCTGACATATCTTTTGGAGTCTGCTAATCTCTCTGGGTGGCCTGGCCAGTGCTGGTGAGGGCTGCCTGGGCCCTTGAAGGGCTGGCTCCAGTAGGGGCTGCCTCTGGAGCTGTGTATACAGTTAGTGTGTATAGTTACATCTTCATGTTAACCTGGGTCTGGGGGACTTGCTACCATGATGAGCACATGTTCCGTGGTGAGCAGGTATTTGCAAACCTACCCCCAAAGGCTGAGGGAGCTGAGAGGCCAAAGAAAGAGGCTGACAAATCCAGTTTCTCAGAAAGAAATGTTTAATAGGGACTTACGAACAGAAGCAATATCTCAGGCAGCCATGGAGCAGTGGATCTCCACACCCGGTCTCCAGAAACTATCCTTTATATAGCAAGCTTTTTTGGTAAAACGTGTAGCTGGTCACACGTGAGACATTCTTGTGAAGCTTGTGACCACTGGGAGGTTAGATGAGCATCTTTACGAGGGGTTATCTATGTTATAAGCATTGCCTTGTGCAGAATTGACCTTGTTATGCAGGGGTCAGACATTAGTCATCATGGCGTTTTTGCTTCTCGATGACGTCACTCTTGCCATGCAACAGGCTGCTTTCCTACAACACACCGACAAAGCTCAGTCTACACTGACCAGTTGACCAGCAGAAACACATTAGTGGGAAAACTGAAGAAGTTCCAATAAGATCTGTAGATTGGTTAATAGTATTAGATTGCTGTTAATTTCCCAGTTTGGTTGTATAAAATGATAACATTAGAGGAAGCCGAGTCAAGGAATTTTGTGTTGTATTCTGTAGGTCTAAAATCATTTCAAAATAAGAACTTAAGAAGCACTTAAAATGAAATAAAATAGAAAAAAGATCAAAGAAAAACCCTGGCTTGATTTTCTAACAGACCTGACAGACCTGGCCCCTCACAGACACTCTGGCTCTGTTGAGCCCAGTCTGCACATTTGGATACCAGGTCTGGGTAGTCCAGCAAAGGCTCATGGGATACATCAGCATCCCGGTGTGAAACAACACGTAACTCCTCTGATCCCCCAGCAAAGGAAGCTAAGCAGCAAAGTGTGCCTTTGGATAGGCAGACCTGCATTTACAGCTCAGATTTGCCAGTCACTAGAGTCTCAGTTTCCCATCTGTGAAATGGAACAGCAGCCGCACATCCCTCTAAAAGTAGTTATGAGGATTCAGTGAGCTGGTAGACATAAGGCCCTTAGCTCACGCTGCACATGTGATCAGCAGCCTGTGGTCAGTGGGTGCTGTTCCCTTCTCTGTTTAGTGGGTTTGGTGGGTGCCTCTATTCTCTGGAGGAGGCCAGAGGCTGGGCATCTGCCCTGGCCACTCATCAGGGTCCTCTCACCAGCTTTCTCCCACGTGGTGGAGAACACGGCCTTCTTCGGCGATGTGGTACTGCGCTTCCCAAGGATTGTGCACCATTACTTTGACCACAACTCCAACTGGAACCTCCTTATCCGCTGGGGCATCAGCTTCTGCAACCAGACGGGCGTCTTTGACCAGGGACCCCACTCGCCCATCCTCAGCCTGGTAAGGACCAGGGCTTAGGAGTTCCAGGAGCCCTCTGTCTGGTGGTGGGCTGGGAGCCTCACATTTGCCTTCAGTTGGGCCTGAACGTCAGTGCTTGTTTGTGTTTTCTTTGTTGAGCTTCAGGGCACTTTGGACCATAGAGGCCCCATTTCAAGAGGCTCTGTGCTGACCTGGGTCCCTTGGGGTCATCCCCTGGCCCACATCTGCCCAAGCCTGGGGCCTGGGGCCCAGCATGGAGGGAGTGGCTCTCTGGTGAGGCGGGAGAAGGCAGGAGATGACCAGCTTTTCCTCATCTGCAGATGTCCCAGGAGCTGGGGATCAGTGAGAAAGATTCCGACTTCCAGAACCCATTTAAAATAGATCGCACAGAGGTGAGCTGCCGGGGTCTATGTCTGTGTCTGCTTTGTCTCTGCTGGGCCACAGGAGGCTGGAGGCCTTGGGTGGCTTTGGGCTTGGAGCCAGACATGCCTGGGTCTGGGGCCAGAAACCATCACTCACTCACTGGAGCCTTTGGGGCAAGTCACTGCTCCTTGACTTAGCCTCAGGCTCCCTGTCTATACAAGGGGTATAGAGTCAGCAGTAACGAGGCAGTGAACACACCAGTCCCAGCACAGAATAGGCACCTCGCTTCAAGGGAATGTCAGGACAGCCTGGCGAGGTCAGTCCACTCTCTTCCCTGCCCTTGAGTGTCTGAGCACCTTCTGGGCTTCTATCCTGCACTCTTGCATATACTCTCATTCTAGGGGGCTGAGGTGGGCTCTGAGGGCTAGAGGCTGCAGTTCGGGATGAAAGATGGGGACACTTACAGTAGAGGGAGGCAGGGATCAGAGGTGGCAGAGCAGGAAGAAAGGGCTGCATGGTGGCTGGAGGTCTGGCCTTGTCAAATCACAGGCTGGCCCCTGGTGTGTGTCAGGGGGTGGGGAGTGTTTGGTCTGTGAGGGCTCTAGGATTTTACAATGCTTACAGGCCCTCAAGCCATCCTGCTACTGTTTCATAGACACGGACACAGGTCAGAGACATCAGACTTCATTACAACAAAAGTGGTAGCTGGACTGATGGTCTACTTGTGTTGGTTTGCCTTGCTGCCCAAGTCCCACAGGGGCAACACAGTGGGGCCCAGGTGGATGCTATGCGTGTAGCGGGTTTGTTTGCATCACAGCTGGAAACCACTGAGCTTGGGAAATTCACCATTTTTAGAATGAACAGAAGCAAACTTGCTCTTTGTTTGGGGGGAGACATTACCTCAGCCTTCAAGGTGGCTTGCTATGAACACAGTCCTGAGATACGGCCCAGGTAAAGAGTGGGCTTTGCCTTTTTGGTTTACCCAGCAAGAACATGCAGGGATGCTCAGGGCCATGGCAGATTGCCTGCCCCAACAGCCTACTTGGTTTAACTCAAATTTTCACGTGAATATGCTATTCAGACTGGTTAATCTGACTACCAATCTGTTATCTGTTACCACCTACATAAGAAAGTTTAGATTGACCAAACGATCTTTGATGTCATTGCCACTAATTATGAGGGGAATAGATGGGCCCAAGCAGCCCTCATCCCTCACCGGGAGACATCCCATGGCCTATTCTCTCCCACGTGTTGCACTTAATTTGGGTCACCAAATTAACAATTTTTGGCTGAGCCCTGAGCTTCAGCCTCAGTTGCCCTACATGGCATAATCCAAGGCTACTCAGGCAACAGGAGAAGCTGATGAATTTATATCAGTCAGATTGAAACAAGTTGTGCTGGCCCATGTGCACAGGGCCGCTGTCGGGACCCACCTTTTATGTTGTTAGGCACAGCAAAATAGTTCACTACTGATGCGTCCTTGTGAGTTTTCCTATCCTGACGGATTGACACACCCAGCAGCTGGCCACATTGACAGCTGCAGCTGCCATCAAGGCTTAGGCAGATCCTAGGATTGTTTTGCCAAGTGGCGGTGCTGGGTCTAAGGACAAAGAGAACACTGATTGTTCTCCACACTTTCTGGGATCTAAGGTGTTCCCTGTCCAGGTGCCAGGATTATTGCTACAAAATCTGTGTGTTTCATCCCATTACCAATAATTTCACTTTTTCTCCAGTCATTTCCTACTCTCACCTGGACCTTTCATTCAGAAGTGTCAGGTGTAAGTGGGACCAGGGCATTTTTATGGATTTATAGAGACCTGTTATGTCACCTGTCTTTGCCCACATGGGCCACTGCAAGGAGATCAGCAAACAGTATACTCGACCAAGTGGTCGCAATCCTCATGGTCTTGGGCCATGCCGCTCCACCCAGAGGCTCCGGTAGTGGAACCAGAAATACTGAGTCCTCTGCTCTGTGCCAGTCCTTGGTGGTGGGTGTGTTGCCATGTCTAGTGCAATGATACACTTAGGTGGCGATGGCGATGATGCGGATGGCGTGGGCTTGATCAGCAATTTGATTCCAGTTGGTCTCATCAGAGAATGAGCCTTACTACGGACATCTAAATGAGTGATCCATACTGTCTGGTTTGCAGCCACAATTTGTTTCCATTGGCCCCAAAGAGAGGTGGGTATCTTTGATCGGCCAGTTTGTAGTCTTTGGGTGGCTAGGACACCAACAACAGTGAGCAGGAGGAATATAACATGCCTGGTTGTTAGAAGTGTCATCTAGGCAAGTGTGATGGTGTTTAATTCAGGTCATTATCTAACCGGCCTCTATGGCAGTTAGTCTTCCAGCATTGTCACTGGGGCTGAATGGCTGCTGCTGCCCATAGATACCTGTGTTCCCAAAACCATTGCCAGGTTTCATGTCTCACTAGGAGGATTCACAGGACTCAGTATACAGTCGCATTCATGGCTGTGGTTTACTACAGAGAAAGGATACAAAGCAAAATCAGCCAAGGGAAAAGATGCAGAGGACAAAGTCTGGAGAAACCAGGCACAGCTTCTAGAGTCTTCTCCAGTAGAGTCACATGGTATGTGCTTAATCCCCCCAGGAACTAACTGAGACAACATGTGTAAAATGCTGTATACTAGCCAAGTTCTTTAGAGACCTAATGCCCTGGATTTCATTGGGAGCTGGTCATGTGGGCACTTTCTACCTAACTTGTACCAAAATTGCAAACTCCCAGAGTGAAAGCAGGTATTTAGCATAAACCATACTGTTTGCACAGTTAGGCACAGTGAGCCACTCTTATCAGTTAGGGTGGTGGGAGCCCTCCTGAAATGCAAGTTCCCAGACACCAGGCTAGGGCTAACCTTGGAAGCTTGTCTTTCAAAGGGTAGCTGCCAGGCTGACTATGTTAACTCTTTTCTCTACAACACCATTAGCTTTAACTTAGATGAACTACAGGCCTGAATATTTAGGGAAACCTCTGAATCAAGGGCCATGTTGAGCCAGTGGGTTTGCTTTATGTGGCTGAATGGGAGATATAGTTTTCCCCACTGGGGTAGCTGCTACTCCTTCATGCAGAACTGCGATGACACATCCTTTAAGTTTGCTTGCTGCAATCATAACCCTGATAAATGGCCCAGGTCAAGAACAGTCAGGGCTTTGCATTCTTGGTATACACAGCAAGAAAACCTGGGGGACACTCAAGGCCATGGCAGGTTGCCTTTCCCAAGAAGGGGTCGCCCATGGAGAAGGTTTTTTTCTGTGATGCTGGCTCTTCTCAACCTGCAGGTCATGCATGCTTTACATAGGAGGAGGGTGAGAACATGGGCCACAGAGAGAATGGATGCCAGGACAAATTGAATCTAGTTTCATCATAATGTGCTCTACTTGGACATACCCATAGCAGCAGTGTACTTTCTTTACCTCTCATTGTCGGGGGTCAATTCTGAGATTTAGTCATTTTTTGATATCCAGTGTGGACCTGTCCAGTAGCAGCAGCCCCAGGTTTGTTCAGCTCCTCTCATACACTCTGTCCATGCTGGTGAGTATTCTGGAAGTCCTTTTCTACTTCTGTAGGAGCCATAACTAGAGCCAACTTGTAATCAGGCTGTGTCCTGGGGGCTGGCCCTGTCCCTGCTCTTCAGATGCTCACAGTCTGATGGGGGAAGCAGCAGGAAAATACAGTCCCAATCCAGCGTGATCACTGTCCCAGTGGAGGAGGGAAGCATAGTGAGCTATGGGACCCCTGAGGGGGAGCCTAGCCCAGTCTCAGCAGGTAGGCGGAGGAGGCTATGAGATGAGTAAGTTGCTGGTGGACCAGCGGAGGGAGGGCCTTTCAGGCACAGGGACAAGCTTGTTGAATCCCAGCCCCTGGGGAAACAGTCTTGCCCTGCTCTCCTGGGAGTGGCATTCTAACTGGGAAGACAGAGGGTCAATTAAAAAACATAATATGGGCCGGGCACAGTGGCTCACGCCTGTAATCCTAGCACTCTGGGAGGCTGAGGTGGGTGGTTCGCTCAAGGGCAGGAGTTTGAGACCAGCCTGAGCAAGAGTGAGACCCCCGTCTCTACTAAAAAATAGAAAGAAATGATCTGAACAACTGAAAAAAATATATATATATAGAAAAAATTAGCCGGGCATGGTGGTGCATGCCTGTAGTCCCAGCTACTTGGGAGGCTGAGGCAGTAGGATTGCTTGAGCCCAGGAGTTTGAGGTTGCTGTGAGCTAGGCTGACGCCACGGCACTCTAGCCTGGGCAACAGAGTGAGACTCTGTCTCAAAAAAAAAAACAAAACAAAACATGAAATGGTAGGTGGTAACATAGGCAGTGGAGAAAAAAAGCAGGAGAATGTGGTTAAGGAATGCCCAGTAAGGTGGGAGTACAGTTGCTGTTTCACGTGGCTTGGACACAGTTTTACTGAAGAGATCTGAAGGAGCGAGGGAGCTAGCTGTGTACCCCAGGGAAGAACATTTCAGGCTGAAGGAGCAGCAAGTGCACAGGCTCTGAATTGGGAGCAAATGGCAGGGGGTGGAGCGGGTGGTGAGAAGAAGAGGGCAGAGTTGTAGGCCAGATCCTGAGACCCTCCGAGGTCTTTGCAAGGGCTTGGTGTTTGCTGTGAGAGACCGCGAGAGCAGGCTGAGGGGCTCTGGCTTAGCACTTTAAAAGGATCACCTGGCTGCCATGAGGAGCATGGTGGGGCCAGGGTGGAAGCAGGGGCACAGGTGAGGATGCTGCTGGGCTCATCTTTTTGGGAGTCGATGGTGGCTTGAACCAGGGTGGCAACAGCAGAGCTGGTGAGTGATGGAGCCAGGATTCAAATGCAGGCGGTCTGCCTCCTGAGCCATGCTCTTGACCTCTGTGCTGTGTTGACCATCAGCATGATGACCTGACCCAGGCCAGTCAGGTACGATTGAGGATGGCCAGGGACGACTTCCTGGAGGAGACATCTAAGCTAGACTTGAGGGATGAATAGGCATTGCCAGGCTTAGGTGGGGAAGGGAGCAGGGAAAGAACGGGCATGTTTCTCTTCTGAGCCAACTAGGTTTGGGTTGGGCCAGCTGAGGCTGGAGGGGCTGAGATCTCTTGAGCTGCCCTTCCCTAGCCAGAGTCAGAGAGTGGGGTCCTCTGTGGCCTGAGTGGTCTCCCAGCTCACCTTCTTCAGTGGATCAGGATTTACTCATGGAGACAGGAGCAGAGTGTGGTGGGGGAAGCACTGGGCAGGGAAGTGGGGGGCCTGGGGGTATGGGTCCCAGTTGGGCCTAGTGCTTTGTGACTTACCCTCTCTGGGCCACACATCTGTGATTTCTCCTATTTTATAGAGACATGACTCAATCTAAACTGGCAGGTAGATTACTCCACAAGGTGGAGCTCTTGGTTTGTTTTTAATGTCTACTTTGATCAAACATTTGTCACATTTGCCCTAAGAACAAATAAAAGCATGTCTGCAACATAACTATCTGACTTTTGGGCACAGTAAGTCCTCATTTAATGTTGTTCATAGGTTCTTGGAAACTGTGCCTTTAAGCGAAACAATGTGTAATAAAACCAATTTTTCTGTAGGCTAATTGATATAAACAAGAGTTAAGTTCCTACAGCATATTTCTGGTCATAAAAACTTCTAAATAAAGACCAAAACACTTAGGATGTTAAACACCGAAATAAATGTGAACTATACATACATTTAAGACAGATTAATAAAAGCAAATTAAGATAATTATTTACCAAATTATTCCGGTTCAGGGTCACGAGTGGCCAGAGCCTTTCCCAGCAGCTCAGAGCACGAGGGGGGAACCAACCGTGGACAGGACGCCATCCCATCACAGGGCACGTTCACACAGCACACACGCACACACAGACACTCAGACTGGGACGGTGTAGACATGCCAGGGAATCTATAAACACATCTTTGGGATGTGGGAGGAAACGAGTACCCAGAGAAAACCCGCGCAGACGGGAGAACGTGCAAACTCCCCACAGATAGTGGCCGCAGCCAGGAATTGATTTTTTTTTCTCATCAACATGATAGTGACACGAACTTGAATGAAACCATGTTGTTGGAGGACCTGCTGTACTGTATTTCATATTCTAACATGGCTCAGTCTTTTAATAAAACATACTAGGTGCTCTCGAGAAGTCAGATGGACTAAGCTAAGGGCTTATGGTGAGCAACACCTGATGGCGATCCTCCTGTCACAGGTGCTGTCTTGGGGGTGATCACAGGGTGAAGCACTGAGAAGGAATTAGCACAAAGTTGAGAGAGAGCGAGCCCCCCACAGAGGAGGCCGGCCTGGCTGGGAGTCAGAGCAGTGACAGCTGAGCCGTACCTAATGTGTGGCAGAGGGGCGGGGGCTGGAAAGTGCATTCTGGACCTAGGCCACAGCATGTGCAAAGGCCTGAAGTGGGCGGGAACTGGGAATCCAAGAGCAGAAAGGTGGGGAGGGCGAGGCAGGAACGGAGAGGTGGGCAGGGGGGTCCTGCAGATGGACTGGGTAGAACTTTGTCCTGAGAGTCATGGAGAACCATGGAAGGGTTGGAAGCTGGAGGGTGACATGACCAGATTTGTGTTTTGAAAAGTTCTAACTGCAGTAAGGAGAATGGCTTGAGAGGAACCAAAGTGGATGTGGAGAGACCTTGGGAGGCTCCTAGAGTCATGCAGAGGGGGAGGCGGTGATGGGGGTAGACAGAGAGAAGTAGGCGGCTTTGAGAGAGACTTAGGATTTGAAATGAGCCAGGCCCTGGTGACGGACTCCGTGTGGAGGGAGAGGGCATGCCAGCTGGGGCTGGGGACTCCTCCCTCTGCCCTTCTCTCCTAGACAGGAGTATGGGGCACCACTGCTCATCAAGATGGAGACTCTGGAGGGGAACTGGGCTTTGGGGAGATTGAACCATGCTGAGTTTGGGGTGCATATGGGACATCCTAAAGGAGGTGTCAGTTGTTTAGATATGCGGATGCCAGTTTGAGGGGTAACTGGCCACATAGGCTAACAGAAGCTGTGGGTTAGGAGAGCAAAAGGCCTGGGACTGCAGCTGGAGAATGCCGCCTCTCCCCCCAGAGTCCTCACCCCTGCCACCCCTGCTCACTCTGTGTTCTCATCTCTTTGTCCCACCTCTTGCTCAGGCCTGCCAGTTTGACCTCTGATACACCTATGCCCGCCTGGGCTCCTCCCAGAGACTGCGAATTATTCACAAGTGGCAGCCTGCCTATTGTCCGTGACTCTTGCTGGCCTCCCCCGCAGCTGCAGCAAAGGGCATGGCAGGTGGGGCTCCTGGGGTCTGTGGTGGTCTCAGCCCCTCTGCCCCTTCACCTTGGAGGAGTCTAGAGGACACGCCACCTGTAGCAGGGCAGGCTGCAGCCCTGCAGGAGGCCGTGCTTCCTAGGGCAGGGCTGCCTCTTTACGCCTCAGCATCTGTCCCTCTGCCTGGAATGCCTGTCTCTTCCCTTACCCTGTTTGCTTGGCAAACTCTTGCTTATCTTTCAAGACCCACTCAGCATTTTCCCCCAAGCCCATTTAACTAGCTCCATGTCTAGAGGAAGGCCTGTGTCCAAGCAACCTTGCTGTCCCCATAACCCACCAGCAGCCTAGTTCAGAACAGACGCTTTGCTGCTGGCAAACTAAATCAGACCGTTCTTTTCTTCCCCTCAGTTCATTCCCGGCACCGACCCTTTCCAGAAGGCCCTGAGAGAAGAAGAGAAACGTCGGAAAAAAGAGGAGAAGCGGAAAGAGATCCGAAAAGGCCCAAGGATCTCGAGATCCCAGTCTGAGTTGTAGCCTTGGAGCGGCTCTGGGCTCAAGGGCACCAGGAGGTGCCAGTCAGGAGGAAGAGGAGGCGGCGGGGTGGCCGTGGTGCAGCAGCAGCAGCTGTGGTGGTGAGCGCCAGCCACTTCCAGACATGGAGGCCACATTTGCTCTGCCCCCTGGAGCCAGGTCTGAGCCCAGCTGAAGGGACTGAACCTAAGAGAGCTGGATTTCCTCCTAGGGGCCTTCAGAGGACACTGTGCCGCAGACACGACCCTGTGGAGACTGCTGGGGTTGGGTGGAGGGGATCCTGGCCTGGACCTTCCTGGTGGGTTAGGACCACTGGCCGGCTGGCTGCCACCCTTTGTGGGGAAGCAGCAGAGCCAGGTTCTGAGCCATGGGTGAAGGTACCACCCCTGCTGCTGGCCCCACTTGTCACTGAGCTGCCCAGCACAGGTCCCAGTCCCTCTACAGAGATAATAAAAGCCAGCAAACCCTTTGGACTGACTGAGGCTGGTGAGGGGACTGAGGGGACCAGCGTCCCTTAGGGATGTAGAAACCAGTTTAGAGGATGTTTCTGCCTCATCAGGAGAAGCCTCAGGCCCCAGCAGGGCAGAGAAGCAGGGCTTGGCCTAGGCCTCCTGTTCCTACCTCAGCACTGCCCTTGACAAAGGATCAGTGTTGAGAAGGGACTTGGAAGTATGCTGGGAGGGTGTTTAGCCCAAGACCTTGGAGCAACATGATCTCTGTCCTCAGGTATCTGGGGACAGTCATTGAGCAGGCACAGGAAGGAGTCAACTTGTCCTCTCTGGCAGTGCTAGAGGACACTCGACCTGTAGGTGGGGGCTGTAGGGTTCCGGCTGCAGCCCTGCAGGAGGCCGTGCTTTGTAAGGGCAGGGCTGCTCTGAGCTGCATTGGTCCAACAGGACAGTGAGCTTCCGTCTCAGGAGGTGTGCAAGACCTGTGGCCTCAGGGCAGGGAAGCTGCTGGGGAGTTAGCTCTGAGTGGGTGGTGTGGTTTCTGTGGCCCTGGGTAGGGGCAGCTGCTCTTCAGTCCTGCCCCTCCCAAGTAGAGGAGGGAGGGGGCTTTGATGGGAATTCTAGCTCTGCCTCTTTGACCTTGCCTAGCCAGAGTCTGCCTCTTAAAGGAACAGAGACCCACAACCATCCTAGATCCCCAGAGCCCAAGCAATACCCAAGTCTTAGCCCATCAGACTTGCTGAGCAATCCTGGCCCACCCCTTCCCTTCCCTTTCCTGTGCTGTGGCTTCACTGGCAAAATGAATTTGATAGGGTCTGAATCCCCTGCCCAGCCCTACCCTGTTTCTCTGAGGCTGGCCCCCCTATGGGGCCAGGGCAGCAAAGGGAAGCCTGGCTTTCGGGAGGCCTCATAGAAGGGCCCAGAACATCCTGCATCCCATCAGTTACTCAGAAGTAAAGGGACAAGAAGCAGCTACAAGAGAGCTGGGAGGAGGGCTGGAGAAGTTTTCCCATCAGAACTGCCCACCAGCCACCTGGTCCCCTTCTAGGCAGTGGAGGCAGGGCCAGGTGGCAGGACTGACCTGACAAACCTGGGTTCCATCCCCAGCCCTCCCCACTGTCGCCCGGGCTGTGTGACCCCAGCCACATTTCCGTGAGGATCACATGAGATGAGGGACACTGGAGTTTGTGAACTAAAGGGCTGTACCACGGCAAAGGGTCAGATTCACTGGATCAGCAGTTTAACCCGTCCTGGTGCCAGTGGCTGGAGCTGGGGGTCAGGACTAGGCCCCAGCCTCTTCCTGTCCTTCGTGTTGGAGAGGCATTTTGGTTGCTGACTCAGCAAGGGAAGGTGATTAGCCTCCCTGCTTAACTGGAGGAAAACTTTCTAAGAACCAGGCCTGCTTGGCAGCGGGCCTAGCTTTCTTGGGGTGGCAGGGAGGTTAAGGATACCTCAGGACAGTGCAGAGGTGGTTCCGGCTTTGGCTGGGCGTCCTACTGAATGACTTCAAGGGACTTTGTCATTAGCACAATTTTTGTAATTTGAAGCAGAGCTGAGGAACTGCAGAGCAATGAGGGAGGCAGCCTAGTGTGGTGGGAAGTCCTGGGCAATTTGGGACTAGCACAGGCTGTATCCTACTGGCAGTCGTCATCAGAACCAGGCACTTCTCCCTCACATCCTTGGGTCCCCCATCTCAGAATGCCCAGGTGGTTGAAAGGATAACAACCTTTTTTTTTTTTTTTTTTTTGAGACAGAGTCTCACTCTGTTGCCCTGGCTAGAGTGAGTGCCGTGGCGTCAGCCTAGCTCACAGCAACCTCAAACTCCTGGGCTCAAGCGATCCTTCTGCCTCAGCCTCCCGGGTAGCTGGGACTACAGGCATGCACCACCATGCCCGGCTAATTTTTTTTCTATATATTTTTAGTTGTCCAATTAATTTCTTTCTAATTTTTAGAAAATTAGAAAATTAGGGTCTCGCTCTTGCTCAGGCTGGTTTCGAACTCCTGAGCTCAAACAATCTGCCCGCCTCGGCCTCCCAGAGAGCTAGGATTATAGGCGTGAGCCACCGTGCCCGGCCGATAACAACCTGTTTATAGGCAGAACGTACCTGGAATGTAAGTGACTTCTCAGTGATAGGTGCCCTTCTCTGATGGTTCTTCGTTCATCCCATAGATTTAATGAGTGCCGACTGTATGCAGAGCCACAGAGAGGGCCCAGACTTTTCTGCCTTCTTGTCTGCCCCATCTGCTACCTCCTTCCTCCTGGACTCTTCCCGCTGTACCTTCAGCTTCTGTCCATCTTAGTTGATCCTGTCCTTTCTACCTCAGATGGGCTCCCTTCGGACAAAGAAACAGAACCACTCTGCTTGTCCCCTCTCGCCTTCCCTTTGCTGCCACTATTGTTAGGGTCACTTGTTCTGGGGAGTCTACCTTCTGAGCCTTACTACAGACAGAGCCTGCATCCCCTTCCAGCTATAAAGGTCCTAGGGCACTTGTGTGTCCAACCTCCCCCGGCAGCTGGGATTCAGCTCCACCAATTGGATGTACCCACCCTGTATGGCAGCAGTGGTCACAGGTACCAAGGGAGGCAGTGGAGTGGTAGTTCTAGTGGCTAGTCCAGGGACCAGTGCCGGGGATGCCCAGTGGTGGCAGCAGTGATGTTTTCAGTGGATCTTAGACATTGTTCCTGTCTGCTGAGCTTCTAGGCCTGGTCTATGGCACCTTTGGAGAATCTGGGAGCTCCCCCATATCCTTTAAGGCAGCCGTCCCCAACTCTTTTGGCACCAGGGACTGGTTTCATGGATGACAATTTTTCCATGGGCAGGGTTGCGGGGTAGGGGAGAGGGCGGAGCTCAGGTGATGATGCCAGAGATGGGGAGCTGCTATAAATACAGGTGAAGCTTTGTTCTTGCCACTACTCACCTCCTGCCATGTGGGTCCCCCCGCCCCCCACCAAGTTTCCTGGAAGACAATTTTTCCACTGACGTGGGGGGTGGTGCAGAGCTCTGTGGCCGGGTCCCTAACAGGCTGGGTATCTGCAGCCCAGGGGGTTGGGGACCACAGCTTTAAAGCATGGTTTCCTAACAGTACTACTATTGACATTTTGGGCCAGATAATTCTTCGTTGTGTGTGTGAGGAGGGCTGTCCTGTGTGTTGTATGATATTTAGCAGCAACCCTGGCCTCTACCCCACTAGACACCAGGAGCAACCCCCCAGGTATGACAACCAAAAATGTTTCCAGACATTGCCAGATGTCCCCCATGGGGCAAAACCTCCCTAGTCCACAGCCTGTCTCCCTCCTTATCCCAGCCCCACATCTTCCTCTGCCCTCCCCAGTCATTGTCCTCAGAGAGATGCTGTTGACAGCTCCTCCTTCTCAAGATGATCCTCCCAGGCTTGTCCTGGTTCTTTGCCCTCTGTCTGAGCCTGCTCTGTCTCTTCCTGGTTCCTCTTTCCTCATCTGTCCCTGTTCGAATGAAGTTGTCTGGGGGCTGTGTCTGCTCTTTTCTTTTTGGGCAGCCATACCATCTAAGACCTCAAAGCTAATGACACCTACCTGTCACCATCTGGTAACTTTCATTGCCTAGGTTTCTGTTTATCCAAAACCAAATTTGTTGTTACCCACTGTTTAATCCCACCTCTGTTTCAAACAGTGGGGAACGTGCTCTTGGTTAATCCAGCTGGAAGGCTTCCTGGAGGAAGTGGTATCTGAACTGAGTCCTCAAAGATTATGGGAAGAGGGAGAAGGGGACAGGCACTGTGAGCAAAGGCCTGAAAGGGCAGGTGTCAGAGGAAGTAAGTGAAAATCATATGTTAAGGTCTCTTCTATGACCTGTAGTAGGTGCCCAATCCATGGTAGATGTCTAAACATAATGGTCACCTAGTCCAATCTGTCCCTTTTCAGATGAGCCCAGGTGCTAAGGAATGACTTTGTTAAAGGCCACTCCACCCCTCAAAGCCAGCCTCTGTCCTCCTCCCAGCCAGGGTAAGGTGCCACCTGGATGAGATGTTCAGTTAGGTGAGATCCGGGGCCAGAGGGAACATATCAGTGTTTTGCTGAGGTTCGGGTCCAGCGTAGCTACCATTCTTCTACCATTTCCACTGAGCCTTCATTTGTGCCCCCTCAGGCCACTTGGCCAGGCACCATGGCCTCTGGGCAGATTCAGCTGGGAACCATGGGAACAGCTGCAGAGTGGCAGTGCTTTGCCTGCCTTCCTGGCCTCTGGTGCTTATGGCAGCCGTCTGCAGGTTACTGAGGCTGGGGGGTCAGGCACTGGGCCAAAGTGAGTGGTATGGGAGCTGTTGCTGCAGCCTGCCAGACTGGGAGACAGTCACACACCACTATGAGGAGCGCTGTGACAGCCGCTGAGAGGCACAGCTGAAGATGGTACCTTCCAGCCCAGGGCTGGGTCCAAAGCAGGGTTCGGTTTTCTATTTCTTTCAGGGTGAGACTGGTATAGTCTACGCCAACTCTCCTGTGTGTAAACAATGAAGAGAACATTCCTGTCTTGTTTTCCCAAAATATAAGATGACTTTATTTCTCATTAGGTATACATGTTCATTATAGAAAGTGATTTAAACGATACCGAAATGCCAAAAAGTAAAATTTACCCCAAATCCCACCACTCCCATAATCACAAGTGACAACTGGCTGTTGGGCTTTGCATCCTTTTCACCCTTCAGGTGAGCACATAGATGCTTATTTTTTCAATTACAATAGCTACATTGTACACTGGCACTTAGTATATACCAGAACTTACCCCAAGTGCTGGCTGGCAGCAGCTCCTCCTGCCTCAAGGCCTTTGTCCCTGTCATTTGTTCTGCCAACTATACCAGATGCAGTTCTCTCCTCATAATTTTAGGTTTCATCTTAAATGTTACTTCTTCAGAATCTTCCTGACATCACAAGTCAGGTTCCTTCTTAGTTTCACATCCATTACTTTTCCTTAATCACTTGTACCATCATCTGTTATTTATTTTTATGTTTGTTCAATGTCTGGTGGTTTTTTTTTTTTTTGCTAGACCGGAAGTT